TCATGTAGCTGAGATTGCTGACAAGTTCAAAGTTGTTTGGTAAAACAAGTCTAAGTAATCAGAGGTGATAAGCCAGATGTAGAATCTAGGTCTAACAGAAGCAAGAAGACGTTCATATACAGCCTATGTAGGCCACCTTCTCAGACCTCCAAATTCCCTTTCGAGGGATTGACTACTTATAGATTTCATGTAAACAACCGAGTTATATGAGGACTCATCAATAAAATGATCCTATTTTATCAGACTATATTTTTTAATGATGATTTTTAAAAATTAATTTTAATAAAATTTACACAGACTTGGGGTTTCCAGTCATTCATTGTTGCACTTTTCTCCCTACCTACCCCTACCCCCAATTCACTCTTCTCCTTGAAAAAGAAAGAAAAACTCTTTCATTGCTATGCAATCCTTCCCCCTCCCCCCAAGTGCATTCCACTATGCAGCCTTCACTCTGGACTTATCAGACTGTATCTTAATTGTCAAACTACAGGATAATAGGCAGTCAAGTTGACACTCAACTTGAACTATTAGATATGAAGAGTTTACAGGGATAGTGACTATAAATGACAGTAGATCTATAATCCAAAAGTCTGGGGTCAGAAAGAAAGGAGCTCTGGTGGCCTAGTGGCAAGAGGCTGCACTGCAGTCCCGAAGGCATGTGGTTCAAGGCCACCAGTTGCTCTGTGGGAGAAGGATGGGCAGTCTCCTTCCTTGCAATTAACTTCCTCTGAAAAATCTGCAGGAGGGTCAGCTATGGGTCAGTTCTGATTCTATGGTAAACAACAACAACAACTTCATAAATATCACAGCAAGAAAGAAGAAACTAGGGTTTTCTTAAGAGTTTAGGGCAAAAGCTTTTTGTTAGTGAGTGGGAAGTAGAGGTCAGTGGAATCTGAAAGGTAAAATGAAGGCACAAGTAGAATCAGATGGGCTTGGCAAGGTAGAAATAGATGAGTAATTTTCAGGGCTGCATGCAAAGAATGTTTAGCAATATTTCTTAACCAACCTTCTAGCCGTTTTTCATTGGCTGTAAATGGCACAGGAAGAGATTGCCCATCTGTCTCCCACAGAGCAGTTGTTGGATTAGAATCCTCAGCCTTTGAGTTGGCAGCATAATTTATCCCAGAAATTATGACAATGTTCAACACGACAGCAAACAACAAATTCTGGTGAGGATATGGAAAGATTGGAATTCTCATACACAGCTCATGGGAATGTAAATTGGTACATCCACTGTGGAAAGTACTATGGTGCTTCCTTAGAAATCTGAAGACGAAAATATCATCTGATCCAATAATCCCACTACTAGGTATATAGCCCCTCAAAATAAGGGCTGTGGTACATACAGGCACATGCACTCTCATGCTAATCTCAACATTATTTACAATAGCAAAAAGGTGGAAACAATGTGAGTATCCTTCAATGGAGGAGGAAGGGGTAAACAAATAATGATAAATTTAGACAATGGAGCGAAATGTAACATCAACTCATGAATTCTTTACTGGCCCATAGCTGACCTTCCAGTAGGCTTCCCAAGGTTGAAAATTAATGGAAAGAGATAGCAGTCATAGAGGGGTGGTGTTTGGATTTAGCATTGCGGCTCCCTCAGGTTGGTGACCCCAGAGCTCCATTATGCAAAACTAAAGAATGATTAAGATTGTGAGAAACACTGCAGAACATGCATGATTCTAGAAGAAATTATGCTGAGTCCCAGAAGTCAATCACAAAAAAACAGTCAGAAACAAAACAAAACCAAACCCAGTCAGATATAAAAATTTATGGTGTAGACTCTCTGCTCATCATTAATTGACAGATAGCCTTCTCTTCTCATGCAGCCTCAGCCACATCCCTGAGACACAATGGTCAGAGTAAACAGATGTGGTGACATTGGACACCTGGTCACCCGGGATTTAACTCTGGCAAAGTGGATGTTGTTGCCATCAATGACCCCTTCATTGACCTCAACTACATGGTTTATCTGTTCCAGTATGATTCCACCCATGGCAAGTTCAATGGCACTGTTAAGGCTGAGAAGAGGAATCTTGTCATTAATGAGAAAGCTATCACTATCTTCCAAGAGCAAGATCCTGTCAACATCAAGTGGGGGTAATGCTGGTGCTAAGTATGTTGTGAACTCCTCTGGTGTCTCCACAACTTTGGGCAAGGCTGGGGCTCACTTGCAGGGTGGTGCCAAATGTTTGTAATGGGCATGGATTACAAAAAGTATGACAATTCTCTCAGGATTTTCAGCAATACCTCGTGCACCACCAACTCTTCCCCCCATCCCCCACCCCCTGGCCAAGGTCATTCATGACAACTTTAGCACCGTAGAGAGATTCATGACCACAGTCCATGCCATCATTGCCACCCAGAAGACTGTGGATGGGTCCTCTGGAAAATTGTGGCATGATGTCCAGGGAGCTACTCAGAATATCATCCCTGCATATACTAGTGCTGCCAAGGAAATGGGCAAGGTCATCCCTGAGCTGAATGGAAAACTTACTGACATGGCTTTCTGTGGTCCCACCCCCCAAAGTGTCAGTCGTAGATTTGACCTACCATCTGGAGAAAGATGCCAAATATGATGACATCAAGAAAGTAGTAAAGCAGGCTTCAGAAGGGTCCCTATAGGATATCCTGGGATACACTGAACATCAGGTTGTCTCCTATGCTTTAACAGTGACACTCTTCCACCTTTGATTGTGGGGCTGGCTTTGCTCTGAATGACCACTTTGTCACTTATTTTCTGGTATGATAATGAATTTGGTTATAGCAACTGGGTGGTCTACCTGATGGTTCATGACATCCAATGAATCAGAGCTTCCTGGACTGATAGCCCCAGCAATAGTACTAGAAGAGAGAGGTCCGCAGCTGCTGGGGAGTCCTTGCCCCAACTCAATCCCCAAACCTAACACTGAGAATTTCACATCCTTGACACAATTTCCATTCAGTCCCCCTGAGAAAGAGGAAGGGCTTAGAGAGCACATCTTGTCATGCACCATCAATAAAGTACACTGTTGTTGGTGGTATGTGCTGTTGAGTTGCCTGCAACTCATGGCAACCCCATGTATAACAGCCCTAAACTCTGCTCAGTCCCTTGCCAATATTACTGTCTCTGACACGCCTATCCCCATTACCCCAGTGACTGACTCAATACACCTCATCGAGGTTCTTCCTCTCTTGCGCTGTCCCTCCACCCTCCCAAGCATGACATCCTTCTCCAAGGACTGGTCCCACTTTGCAACATGTCCAAAGTATGTCAGATGGAGCTTCAGAATTCTTGCCTCCAAGGAGCAGCCTGGCTTCATCCTCTCTAGGACGAACCATGTTATAGCAGTACATGGTATATTCAATACTCTTCTACAGCCCCAAAGCTCAAAGGCATCAACTCTTCCTCTGTCATCCCTAGTCATTATCCAGCTCTCTGATGCATAGTAAGTAATTGTAAAGACCATGGCCTGTATCAGAAAAAAAAATAATTATGGTACCAAGCTCATGGTAAAAGTTACGGAACGTGCAACCACTGTGGAAAGTGGTGTGGCGCTTTCTCAAAAAGTTGCAAATAGAGATACTATTTGACCCAGCAATTCCACTATTGGGAATATACCCCAAAGAGACCATAACTACACCCAAGCAGATATGCACACCCATGTTTATCGTGGCTTTGTTCAGAATAGCAAGGAGTTGGAAACAACTCAGGTGTCCATCAACAAACGGATAGAGAAACTGTGGTATATTCACACAATGGAGTACTAGCTGCATTGAAAAACAAGGAACTCATGCAATTTTATTCAAAATGGGTGACCCTGGAGGACATTATGCTGAGTGAAATATCTCAGTCACAAAAGGACAAATACTGCATGGTGCCACTGTTGTAGAATGGAACTGACATCAGGGTTGGGGTAAGACTGAGAAAAACTGGATAAATTTTTATACTGCATTGAAACAGATGAGGGAGACAATAATTTAAAAGCAATATATGATAGGGTATTATGGTTATCACAAGAGTCCACAATTAAGGTTGTATAGTGGAGTGTACTCAGGATGGTGGGAGGGGTGCGCTGGGTGGGGGAGGATTGTATACCAAAGAAAGAATTTTTTACTTTTCAAAGAGAGGAGCGAACTGGGGGTGGGGGAAGGGCTGGGCAGGGAGAAAAGTGCAACAATGAATGAATGGAAATCCAAAATCTCTGTAAATGTTCATTAAAATAAATAAAATAAAATTTAAAAAAAAGTTAAGGAATGGTTAATACACAGATCATTCTTGGATGTTTACTAGTGGTGTTTACTAGTAATGGAGAAAAAGATAAAAAAAATAATAGATAAATTGGGTGAAAGGAAAGGCAATATATGAGGCTGGCCAAACATAATTAACTAATTATAATTAATAAGAACATGTATATTAGGGAGTTCTGGCGGCCTAGTGGCAAGAAGCTGCGCTGCAATTCCTAAAGGACAAGGTTCAAATCCACCAGATGCTCCGCTGGAGAAGGAGGGTCAATCTCCTCCTGTGTCAGTCTGATCCAATTCAATGGTACCCAACAATAACAAAAAGAAAACATAAAAATGTGTCTTAATATTTAAATGAAAAACAATATAATTTGCAAACTTCAAGCCAAATACAAAATAAAATGAAAAATTTTAAAAAAAACAACAGGAGGCAGAACAGGAGTTCGGGGTAAGCAAGAGTTAGGAGATAAAGGAGGCCAGCAGCTCCTTTTGGCATTCTGAGCCTGGAGAAGAGCAGGTCCAGACTCAGAGAGCCTCTGCTCGCCCCTCCCGAGCCAGCAGCCCAGCCCAACCGGGGCCTGGGTGGAGTCAAGACCCAGGGCCCGTCCCCACACGTCATCATCCCGCGACGGCACGCCCGGTGTTATTTCTCCCTGCGGCGCGCTATTCCGGATTTTGTCACAGACAGATCCAAACATGATCCCGGGCAGTGGTCTGTAACTGGGCAGCCAAACTGGGCGACCACAGGTTCCGACAGCTCCCTGGTCCTGATGGCGGCGGCGGCGGCTCTGGCAGCGGTCGATCCCCCTCCTTCGATGCCGCAGGCGGCAGGGACTGGAGGGCCCACAGCCCGCCGGGACTTCTACTGGTTGCGATCCTTCCTGGCTGGAGGTGGGTGTCCGCCAGGAGGACCTGGCTGCGCGCTGGGCGGCAAGGGCAGGATCGGAAGCAGGTCGGTCTCAGGCGGCAGCAACGACATTCCTGGACTCTAGTTGTTGCATTATCCTGCTGTTGTCTTGCCTTACTGCGGTTTTGTTAGGTCCCCTCCAGGCATTCCCGACAGAACTAACACTGCCAGGTGCTGCCCAGCCCTGACCATCCTCAGAAGTTTAATACCACTGATGCAGCCACTGTGTCACCCTATTTCGTAGGGTGTTCCTCTTTTTCTCTGACCCGCTACATTACTAAGCTTGATGTCCTTTGCCAGGGACTGGTCAGCTCTGATACCATGTCCAAAGTACATGAGACAAAGTCTAATCACCCTGACTTGAAGAGCATTCTGGTTACACTTCTTTCAAGATAAATTTGTCCGTTCTTCTGGCAGTCCACGGTATGTGCAGTATTCTTCACCAATAGCTTCGGTACTCCTTTGGTCTTCCGCATTCATATAAGGCAATAGGAAATCCCATGGCTTGGGTCAGGTACCTCAATGTGCCATATTTGTTTTTTAACGCTAAAAAGAGATCCTTTGCCGCAGATATTCTCCATGCAATAGGTCGTCTGACTCTTATTTCCCAACTCTTCCTTTAAACGCCTTCAAGGATTCCGTTAATTTTATAGAGTTTTAATTTCCTTTATAAAGGCTGTGAGTGACCAAGTAGAATTGGATTTTGCAGTTTGCTTAAAGGAAAACACGTATCGGAGGTCAGTGTTTTAAGGATGGCTGACAAATTGTACAAAAGTGCTTACAATGACAGCTGGTTTTAATTATTTTAGTAAACTTGCTTTCAGCTGTTAACTGGTTCCAGAAATCTCTTGAGAGTTAAATATCTTTTTATAAGTTGGTATTTCACCCTCTCTATTCTTCCTTAAGTGCCTGTGTGGGTTGTCATCACTTAATTTTTTGTTCAGGCTGAGAATTTGTAAAATTCCGCATTATGAAGACTTGTAGAAAGATAATATCCATAGGCTGAAGTAGTACTAAAAACTTAATGTTTGTTATTTTTTTTTGTCTGATAAAAAGGACAGTTATATTAGGAACATTTTTTTTTCCTATATGAGGAATATTTGAAGGCCTGCCTTAAGCTTGCTACCTACTTGGTACACATCAGAGAACAAAGCAAAACTCCCTACCTTACTTGAGTTAACATTGGTTGGAGAGGATCCTGGTGGTATAGAGCATAAGAGCTGCTAAATGAAACATCAGTGGTTGAAATCCACCAGGTGCTGTGTGGGAGGGAGTCTTCCTGTTAAAGCCTTGCAAACTTACTGGAGAATCACCATGAGTTGACATTAACTTGGCAGTAGTTGGCTTCATTTTCGAGAGTGGTGAAGACGATGACGAAGAAAATAAAAAAGTAAACTGTAGAGTATACTACAAGATGACAAGTTGCACTGAAAAACATGCGTAGGACAGTAGATGGAAATGGTGTTATATTAAATAGAGTGACTGTGATAATATTTGAGACAGGGAGAAATAAAGAATTGAAGGGCAAGGGAGTTGGCAAGCTGATGTCTGAGGAGAACATCTCAAGTAAAGAGAAATGGTAAAGAAGAAGCATCAATACAAGGGAATAGCTGATTGGTTTGAAGGAAGCAAGTGGTTGTAATGAGGGGGGAAAGTTAGAGAGGTTAAACCTAACTCATTTCCTTTAAGTCTCAACTAGCTCACAGCTGACTCATCATTGGGCTTCCAAGGCTGTAAATCTTGTAGGAGGTGATTGCCCGTCTTTCTTCCTAGGGACCAGAACCCCTAGTTGATTCATAGTGCCAGAGAGGAGTGGCCTTTGGGTTAGCAGGGCAGTTCTCAGAGAGGTAAAGGGGCAAAAATTAAGAGTCCTGAAAAACATCTTAGAATCTGACCTCTGCTCTGAGTGAAATGGGGAACCTTTGCCGCTTTTGAGCAGGAATGTGACGTGACAGAACTTACTTCAAAAGGATCAGTTTGACTTTTCTGTTGAGAAGAACTGAGGGGATACAAACATTAAAATAAGGAGTCTAATTTGGAGATTATTGTATTGATTCAGATCTTAGGTGATGGTGGTTTGGATCAGGATAATAGTGTGGAAGTGGTGAGAAGTTTGAAAGTCTGGATATAGAAAGAGTAAGTGGAATTTTTTTAGAAGACGTGGGTGAAGAAGGGAAGTAAAGTCTGCTTGATTTTGGCCCAAACCATAAAAGGGTGGAACTACGGAAAATGGTATGTCATTATGAGAGACCTCGGGTGGCCTAGTGGTAAGAAGCTATGCTGCAGTCCTGAAGGCACACAGTTCAGATCTACCAGCTGCTTTATGAGAGTCTCCTCCCATGCGATTAACTGCCTTTGAAAACCCACCAGAGGGTCAGCTATGAATTGGATCTCAACTCAGCTGTACACAAAGACAACATAGTACAAATGTAGTAATTAAAAATATAACTTAATATAAAGTGTAGGGAGCACTGATGGCCTCATGGTAAGAAACTGCACTGCCAGCCAAAGCCATTCAATTTGCGTGGTGGTTTGAATCCACCAGCCACTCTGTGGGAGAAAGACGGGTGGTCTCTTTCCATGTAATATACAGCCCCTGAACACTTGCTGGAGGATCAGCTGTAAGTCAGTTACAACAGCACTGAAGTATATCCAAGGAGCCCTGATGGTATAGTAGTTACAAAACTTGGTTGCTAAACAAAATGTTGGCAATTTGAATCCATCAGCAGCTACTCTGTTGGAAGGAGATAGGGCACTCCAATTATGTAAATCCAAATATGTAAAGATTTATCATCTTGGAAACCTTAGGGGCAGTTTTGCTCTGTTGTAATGAGTCAGTTCCCAGAATTGATTCAGTGGCAGTGAGTCTGGATTTTATTTAATTTTTCCTAGTACAGCTCACCCTTTTAGATGTATAGTTTGGTGAGTTTTCACAGTCGTTCTTTTAGGTGCAGGGTTTAGTGAGTCGTGACTAGCATGTTCTGTAACAGCCATTAAAGTCAAGGTATAGAATAGTTCCATGATCCAAAATAATTTCCACTTGGCTGGTAATTAGTAACTACTAGCCTGTGGTAACCACAACACTGGTTTCAGTCTCTGTAATTCTGTCTTTTGCAAATGCTGTGTAAGGAATTGTGGTGATATAGTGCACAGCTTAGCAGGCTGCTAATCAAAAGGTGTGTAGTTTACATCCTTGCTCCTTGGGAGAAAGGTAGGCAGTCTCCTCCTGTAAAAATGTACAGCCTTGGAAATGTAGGGGGCAGAAATCCTGAATTGGAAACTATTTGAAAGCAGTGGGTTTGATTTCTTTTTAGGTTTTAAATGTTGTAAAATGAAATAATTCAGTACTTAGTCCTTTGAATCTGGCTTCTTTTACTTGGATGAGTGCACTTGAGATTCATCCACATTGCATGTATTAGTAATCTGCTCATTTCTTTTTTTTTATTATTATTAAATTTTATTAGTTTGAATGAACATTTATAGGGATTTCGGGTTTTCATTCCTTCATTGCTGCACCATTCTCTCTACCCTCCTCCCCAGTTTGTTCTTCTTCCCCGCCATCCGAATGTCTGTTTTAATTGTCCAATTGCCACAGTGCTTGTCAAAGTCAGTTCTGATTAATCTCCTTTGTCGGTGTGTCCTTTGCCATTCCCTATCACTCCTCCCTGAGAGAGACTTCACCCTGATTCATAAGGAAAAGGGGATGGCGTATTCTCTTAGCTACTTCCTGCTGAAAAGGGACGCTGTGGGTTTTAAGGTGAAGATCTTCTCTCACTACTCTAAAGGGCCCCTTTGGCAGTAGGAAACACATAGACTGTTATGGAGATTGATTTTGGAATTTAGATGCACTCTTATTGATTGTGCTTAGCTGTACATGTTCATATCCTTGAAGATGTATCATGGGGGTGTTGCAACCTAGAAGACACAAATTTGACTAACAAGTTATAAGTACATGAGTCAAAAATTATGGAAAAGTAAAAGAAAGGATTCTTTCATTGTTTTACAACCCCCCCCCCCAGGTCCCCTCCACCATGTAGCCCTCGCTCTAGACTCCTGTGATGACAGAAATACCTAGTCATATATCTCTTCTAAACAGTTTTCTCCCTCCTCTGTTTCAGTGCAGTATACATTATTGAACCCATCTTACTTAGTCTCTCCCCAACCCCAAGGACAGTCCCATTCTACAACAGTGGCATCATGTAATATTTGTCCTTTTGTGACTGGGATATTTCACTCAGCATAATGTTCTCCAGAGTCAACCATTTTGAATAATATTGCATGAGTTCCTTGTTTTTTAATGCAGCATAGTATTCCATTGTGCGAATATACCACAGCTTCTCTAGCCATTCGTTTGTTGATGGGCACTTAGGTTGTTTCCAACTCCTTGCTATTGTGTAATCTACTCATTTCTGTTACAGAGCATCACGCTATGTTTTGGACATACACATTTCCACCTGTTGAAAGTTTGCTTTATTTTTAGTTTTGGGCTATTTAAAAGAAGCACTTGTGAAAATGGTTTGAAATATTATGTGTTCTTATTTATCTTTGGTAAAAATCCCATAGTGAGATTGCTGAGTATTTGAGTTTTTCCCTCTCATCCTCTCCTTGCCATTTAATTGAAATCAAGTTGTTATATACCAGTGACCCTCCAGCAGGTTTTCAGAGGCTATAAATCATGTGGGAGGACATTGCCTATTTTTCTCTCCTGGAAGAGCTGGTGAATTTGAACTAGTCACCTTTGACTTGGCAGCACAACTCCCTGCCCACTAGGCCACCAAAGCTCGTCAAGGAGTACAGTAATATATGTTTAATAAGAAATCTCCAAACTGTTTTCCAAAAATGTTCCAATTTTGCATCCCTACTACTTTGTTAAGAGAATGTGTGTGGCAAGCTCTGGTGGCCTAGTGGCAAGAAGCTGCACTGCAGTCCCAGAGGTGTGTGGTTCAAATCCACCAGATGCTTTGCTGGAGAAGGAGGAACAATCTCCTCCTTTAACAGATCGATTTGATGGTACACATAAAAAAAAAAAATTAAAAAAAGAGTATGTGTGTGTTTCATTCTAGTGGATATTTGTGTGTTCTATTCTACTGGATATTTTTCTTTTCTTTTTTATAATAGTAACAACTCATTTTATCAAATTCGTACTACATGGAAAGTATTGTACTAAAGTACTACACTGTAAGTGGTACATACAGAGCTGTACTAAAGTAATTACAGTTCTGCTGGTCTAGTAGTAAGGAGCTGCACTGCCATCCCAAAGGCATGTGGGAGAAAGATGGGCAATCTCCTCCATGTGATTTACTGCCTCTGAAAACCCACTGGAGGATCAGCTATGAGTTGTTTCCAACTTGTTTGTATAAAACGACAGCAACAACATACAGCCTTAAAAGTGTGCTGAAGCTAATAGGCTGTCCTGGCTTATTATGACTTATGCTAAAGCTTAAGTATGCACCTAAATATGTCTGCACAGTGATACATGATAGGGGCCAAAACCATATTTATTGAATGTAGAAATGCATAGTTCGTGTGTAGAAGTTGGTTGTTTCAATGAAAAGTTGTCCAGAAGGAAAATAAGCTGCTGAGAGAGAAACGGAGAGTGGGTAAATACCTTTGAGTATCTCTGTAAACATATTTTTGTAATTTGCTCAGTGGTGATCAGATATTAGGGAGCTAATGTACATCCTTCACATTTATTTGTCAGTCTGATGTGGTGAAGTATTAAATTTCAGAGAATGGCTACTACTCATCTGCTTTTTTCTGCTATTGGACAGTTCTACCCATGGAGACCAAATCAGAGATTGGAGGGTTTGCTGGTGAAAACAATAATGATTTCTGTCTGAAATAAAGAATATGCAATTTCTTCCTGACCTTTTTTCTTTTAGGTATTGCTGGATGCTGTGCCAAAACAACAGTGGCTCCTTTGGATCGAGTAAAGGTCTTATTACAAGCTCATAATCACCATTACAAACATTTAGGTGAGTTGACAGATGCTAAAGACAAAAAGAAATAAAAACAAAAGTTTTCTTGATTAGGACTTGTGGTACAGAGATTAAAACACTGCTGCAAACAAACAAACACCCCAGAAACCATTACTCATTTGCTGTTAATTATAGTGGAAAAGGACACAAACGGGAAGTGCAAGGTTCCAGTCTGGGGACACATTTTGTAAGAGAGATATATCTCTTATTCATCGTATTCTTTTCATTTGAAGGAATAGTTGTTTTACTTTCTTTAATGTCCTTATAGCTCCAAACCATATTCTTGGACTCATTGAAGTTTGTTTATTGGAATTACTAGTCACATCCTTCACAGATGCTCCTAACACCCTTGATTTGTGATGAAGATAAGCTTTAAAATTAAAATGAAGTATGTGGCTCTGGATTATGCAGACGACCCCACCTTGTTAGTGCAAAGTGAGTAGGACTTGAAGTACTTGCTGCAGAAGATCAAGGACTACAGCTTTCAGAAGGGATTGCATCTCAACATCAAGAAGACAGACATCTTCACCACTGGACCACTAGATAACATCATGATAGAGGGAGAAAAGATTGAAATTGTCAACAATTTCCTTTTACTTGGATCCACAATCGACACCCTTGGTACCAGCAGTCAGGAGATCAGGAGCATTGGAAAAATCTGCTGTCAGGGACCTCTCCAAAGTTCCTGAAGAGCAAGGATGCCAATTTAAAGGGCAGGGTGTGCCTGATCCAAGCCATGGTCTTTTTAATCGAGTGCTGTGCATCTGAGAGCTGGACAATAAATAAGGATGACAGAAGAATTGATGCCTTTGAGTTGTGGTGTTGGAAGTCAGTAATGAATAGAACAATAGAACAAATGGATATGTTTTGGAGAAAGTACAGCCAGAGTTTTGTGTGGAAGCAAAGATGGTGAAGTATTATCTCACATACTTTAAGGGATATGTTGTTTGGAGGAGCTATTCCTTGGAAAGAAACATCATGCTTGGAAAGTTGGAGGATCAGCAAAAGAGAGCACAACTCCCAACTAGGTGGATTGGCACAGTGGCAGCCACAGTGGGCTCAAGTGTGTCAGAGATGAGGAGGATGGTACAGGAAAGAACAAGATTCTTTAGTTCATAGAGTTGCTCATAGAGTTGTTCATAGAGTTGCTATGAGTTGAACTCAACTCGGTGGCTCTTAACAACAACAACAAACAGTTAAATAAGCTAAGAAATCTCAGTGCAAGCAGAATTCAATGACATTAATTAGTTTGTATCGATAAACTGCATTTTTGAGGAAGAAAATCAAGTAATTTATTTCTTTCTTACAAACATGAAAACTAGCAATTTCACTTATCAGAAACTCTTTCATTGGTAGAAGAAAGAACTTTTTACAATCTTTTTAGACAGCAATCACATGGGAGGAGATTGCCCATCCTTCTGTTGACTTGAACTGCGTGCTTTCAGTATTGTAATGCAGTTTCTTGTCAGTAGGCCACCAGAGCTCCCTTGACCATTGTTCTTTTTGTTGTAATGTGCCATCGAGTCGCCTGCAGCTCATAGCGACCCCATCTACAAGAGCCCTAAACCCTGCACTATCCTGTGCCAACCTCACCGTCTCCGACACAGTTACTCCCACCACCCCAATCACAAAATTGATCTATCTCATTAAGGGTCTTCCTCTCCTGCACTGTCCCTTCACTCTCCCAAACTTGGTGTCCTTCTCCAAGGACCGGTTCCTCCTTGCAACATGCCCAAAGTATGTCAGACGAAGCTTCAGAATCCTTGACTCCAAGGAGCAGCCAGCTTCACCCTCTCCAGAACAAACCTATTCTTGTGGCAGTCCATGGTATATTCAACACTCTTCTCCAGCACCACAGCTCAAAAGCATCAATTCTCTTTCTATCATCCCTAGTCACTGTCCAGCTCTCTGATGCATAGCACACAATTGCGAAGACTAGCCTGGATCAGGCACACCTTAGTCTCTAGCCTGATGCCATTGCTCTTCAGTACTCTTGAGAAGTCCTTGACAGCTGACTTTCCCAAAGCAATTCATCTCTTGGTTTCATGGCTGCTGGTACCAAGAGTGTTGACTATGGAGCCAAGCAAACTAAATCTGTTAACTATGTCAATCTCTTCACCATCCATCCTGATGCTGCCAATTGGTCCAGTGGTGAGAATCTTTGTTTTCTTGATGTTGAACTTCAGTCCATATTGAAGGCTGCAGTCCTTGACCATCTGCAGCAAGCGTTTCAAGTTCTCCTCAGTTTCAGCAAGCAGGGTTGTCATCTTCATAATGCAGGTTGTTGATGAATCTTCCACCAATCCTGATGCCACTTCCCCCTCGTACAGTCCAGTGTCCCATATGATCAGTTCTGCATACAGATTGAAAAGGTGTGGAGACCGAATACATCTGTGGTGGACCCGCTTCCTGATTTTGAACCATGTAGTGTCTCCTTGCTCTGTTCTGATGACTGCCTCTTGGTCCAATTATAAGTTTCACATAAGCACAGTCAAATGTTCTAGGATTCGCATTCTTCTCTGAGTCAGCCATAGCTTGTTGTGATCCACACAGTCAAAAGCCTTTGCATAGTCATTGAAGCACAGATAGACATTCTTCTGGTATTCTCTGCTTTTTGCCAAGATCCATCTAACATTAGCTATCGTATCTCTAGTACCACAGCTCTTCTAAATCCAGCCTGTACATCTGGCAGTTCTCTGTTGACATATTGCTCCAGTCGTTTTTGGATAGTTTTTAGCAGAATCTTGCTTGCATGTGATATTAATGATATTGTTCTATAATTTCCACACTCTGTCAGGTCACCTTTCTTTGGAGTGGGAACAAATATTGGTCTTTTCCGGTCAGTTGGCCAGCTGGGTGTCTCCAGATTTCTTGGCACAACTTAGTGAGCACATCCAGGGCAGCGTGTGTTTATTGAAATATGTCAACTGGTATGGTATCAACTCTTGGAGAGTTTTTTTCTTGCCTGTTTTTTCAGAGCAATTTGAACTTCCTCCTTCATCACCAAAGGCTCTTGCTCATATGTTATTTCTTGAAATTCTTCTGTGTCAGCCAGTTCCTTCTGATACAATGACTCTATGTACTCCTTCCATCTTCTTTTAATGCTTCTTTGATTATTTAATATTCTACCCAAAGCATCCTTAAGTATTGCCACTCGTGGCTTGAATTTGTTAGTCCACATTAATAATGGACTCCTTGAATCTCAGCCTGCATAAGCCTGAAACCAGGTGATCAACATGGTGCCTTGTTACCACTGGTTACCACTCTGAAAGAAATCATTGTAGAGGACCCATTATAGACTGGGAGAAAAATAGGGAACAAACCTCAAAATCCTAAAATTGACTAGACTTGTTGGTCTGATAAAGATTGGTAGAACCCTCAAGCCCTAGACCTAAACTCACATCTGTGGCTCAACTTTTAGACCTGTAAAGTGCTCAGTAACACCAAAGAGAGACTCAGTTCTTAGAACAATTAACCTATAAGTTCAAAAGGGCATCATTTTTCCAGAGAAAAAGCTCAGACGGCCAGAATGGAGATCATAGAGGAATGAATGGAAACAAGAATCACACTGAGGAAGTGGGAAGAGTGTTATTATAATGTGGGCATTAGAAATAATGTTGTAACACAAAGTATTTATGAAATTTTAAATAGAAAACCAACCTTTCCTGTAATTTTTCACCCAAATCACAATCAAAAGTTTTTTAAAAATAAAGAGAACTATACCCTAAAGAAACCAGAACTGCCACCTAAGCAGATATATGCTCACCCATGTTTATTGCTGCTTTGTTCACAATAGCAAAGAGTTGGAAACAACCCAAGTGCCCATAAACAAACTAATGGATAGAGAAGCTGTGGTAACACAATGGAATATTATGCTGCATTGAAAAACAAGGAACTCATGAAATATACAAAATGGGTGACTCTGGAGGACGTTATACTGAATGAAATGTATCAGTCACAAAACTGCATAGTGCCACTGTTGTAAAGCGATACTGACATTGGAGTTGGGGGTAACTAAGAAGGGATAAATAATGTATACTGCATGGAAACAGACGAGGGAGAGAACTGTTTGGGAAGAATATATGATTAGGTATTGTCATGACAGGAGTCCAGAATGAAGGCTTCAAGTGGAGTGGACTTTGGGGGGTGGGGAGATTGTATAACAATGAAATAATTTTTTTTTTTTTTTTTTTACTTTTCAAAGAGAAAAGCGAACTGAGGGACTGAGGGAGAGGGGTGGGCAGGGAGGAAAGTGTGCAACTATGAATGAATGGAAATCCAAAGTGTCTGTAAATTTTCATTAACATGTTGCCGTAAATGACGGTAATACCCGGGGGGTGGGGGGGGGGGAGGGAATGTGTTTCTGAGCATGGTCGTCAATTTAAAAGTTGCGGCAACGTGTTAAAATAAATTTTAAATAAATAAATAAGGAAGCTCTGATGGCCTAGTGGATAAGGAGTTACACTGCAAATCCAAAGCCAAATCCACCAGCTGCCCAGTGGGAGAAAGGTGAGCAGTCTTGTGAATTTTACACCGTCTGAAAACTTGCTACAGGGTCAGCTTGAGTTGGTTATGACACCATGAAAGTGATGTTTTATTTTGACTTGCCTACAAAACGATGTGATCATACTGCACTTATGTGAATGAACATGTGCTTTAACAAAAGTCAAGAATAACCATAACATTAGATAGTTAATTGGGAGTAATTGGAGTAGAGGAATTTTTTTTACCCTCTAAATTCATTTGTAATACACACTGGACATAGTTTAATTTTGCAGCTGTTGTTGTGTTATGTGCCATCGAATCTCTTCCAACTCAGCAGTACAATAGTTCTGAACCCCACCCTATCCTGAGTGAGTATGTCTCCGACACACCTACCTCCATTACCCTAGTCAGTCCATCCCATCTGGAGTCTTCCTCTTCTGCTCTGCCTTTTCCTCCACCCCTCTAAGAGTAATGTCCTTCAAGGACTGATCCCTCCAGGCCATGTGCCCAAAGTATGTGAGATGGAGTTTCTGAATCCTTGCCCCTAAAAGCAGCTTGGTTCATCCTCTCTAGGACAAACCTCTTTGTTCTGTCCTGTTTGTTGTTTGTGAGGAGGACTAAAATACTTGCTGTAGAAGATCAAGGACTGACTACATGATCTTTAATATGGGTTACATTTCAACATCAAGAAAAATGTCCTTTCCACTGGGCCAAAAGGCCACATGGTAGGAGGAGTAAGGATTGAAACTGTTGGTGATTTCATCTTGCTTGGGTCCCATATTTAGCGTCCTTGATACTAGCAGTCAGAAGATCAGGAGATGTATTGCTTTGGGCAATTTCACTGTCAGGGACCTCTCTAAAATACTGAAGAACAATCATGTCAGTTAGAAGACTAAGGTGTGCCTGATTCAGACCATGGTCTGTCTTTTCAATCACTTGCTGTGCATCTGAGAGCTGGACAGTGGATAAGGATGACAGAAGAATTGATGCCTTTGAGTTACGTTGGAGAAGAATATTGAATATCCCCTGGACTGCCAAAAAACCAAACAGGTAAGTCATGGAAAAAGTGCGACCAGAGTGCTCTGTGGAGGCCAGGACGGCGAAGCTTCCTCTCTCATACTTAAGATAAGTTGCTAGAAGAAGCCATTCCTTAGAAAGGAATATTATTGTTAACAAGATAAAAAGCTTGGTAACAAGGGAGAGGAGGATCAATAAAAGAAAGAAAGATCTCCAAGGTGATTGAAGTGAGAGTGACTGCATCATTGAGCTCATCAAATACATCAGTAATGATGAGGATGGCACAGGATAGAGGTTTGTTGTTCATAGGGTTGCTACAGGAGCTCTGGTGGCCTAGTGGCAAGAAGTTACACTGCAGTTCAGAAGGCACACAGTTTGAGGCCACCAGCTGCTCTGTGGAGAAGGATGGGCAGTCTCCTCCTGTGTGATTAACTGCCTCTGAAAACCTGCTGGAGGGTCAGCTCTGGGTTGGTTCTGACTTGATGGTACACAACAACAACATAAACAGAGTTGCTGTGAGTCTTAACTGAATTGGCACCCAACAACAACAGCAATGGAGGAATTTAAACAGTTTTATTCACTGCTCATTGATTTATTCATTTACCATTTTATTTTGCATTTTCTCTTTGTACTTACTTTGAGTTCCCCTCTCCCTTTCTCTTTGTTTCCTGACTATCTGGTGGGTTTTGGTTGTTTTGGTTTTTTGTGTTTTTTTTTTTTTTTTAGTACTGTATACCTTTCAGTTTTCTAATAATTCATTGTGAGGCATTGGGGTTCATTGGTTGCTCACCTGAAAGTGGGAGGTTTGGATTCATTTCCCAGATAGTGCCCTTCAGGTGCACCCATTACCTGGCTGTCAGTTTGGGCTTGCAGGTTTAACTTGAGTTTCCTACCTAAGACTGACTAGGAAGAAAGGCTTATCCCTGATGATCTGCTTCCAAAAATCAGCTATTAAAAGCCATTCTGACTGGATCTGCAGTCAGTCGAGGGGATGGCAGATGATGCAGGACCAGGTTGTGTCTTGTGCTGTTGTGCATGTGGTGTTGTCATGAACTGGAGACTTGCTTGATGGACAGCTAGCATAATGATGTCTAAAAAAATGTTTAATAAATTGCTATGTTTTTTAAAATAATGAAATAAACTGTGCAGGCCTATCACAGAGCTCCTGAAATCAGCATTATTATGCAGATCAATCTCCTCTGAACTTTCCCCTCGTTATTGATGCCTTCTGGTCTGTATTAGATAACCATTGTTCTAAATCTGATCACCCTTATATTGTCACAAACACATTTGAGTCAGATTAAACAGGGCTTAACCTTTGCCCCTTCCTCTAGCAAAAGAGAGACTTTAGCTCTTTTAAATAGGTTTTTGGGCCCTTTCTAGCGCTCCCTATTGTAAAAAGTAGTTTCAATTTTTTCTTGCATGCAGTTTTTATTACTGGCAAGGGCTCAAAAATTGCATTCATTAACATTTTGAAATGAGCCTGGTGATTTTGTTTATTAAACTTTAGGAATTCAAATCAGTCAGTAATGGCAGTAGGACTGTGTGTATGAGAAGGCTGTGTACTGCTTCTAATAGAACTAGTGATTGATGCTAATAAGAGTAATAAACATACCAACATATAAGGATCACACTGCAGGACCAGTTTTATCAGTGTTTGCAGTTTGCAATTAGTGTTCTAATTAGTGAGCACTTACTCCACAACTTAAATTGTTTTTATAGGTGGTTGTTGTTGTTAAGTACCATCCAGTTGTAGGCAACTCATAGCAACCCTATCAACAAAAGTCCTCGATGCTTGCATGTGCGACTTTCTCCAGGTTCATAGGGTTTCTGGAGGCAAGCTATTTACAGAAGTAGATGCCCCTCCTGCTTCCAAGCTTGTTTTAATTGGGGAGCACCACCAAACACTGTCCGCTGTGGGTAACCGTTATCACATTTGACACATCAGTGTCACAGTGTTCTGCTTCAGAGCAACCACAAGTTACCTCTGTACTGCAAGTGGACACACCAGGACTATATGACCTAGAAGACTGAACAAAAAACAATGAAAAAAAGGCCTTAGGGCCACGGATTAGAGTCATCCACCTTTGACTTGGTAGCATCGCTTTCGGTCTACTAGTTTTTATAGGTAGTCTTTATTTGTGTGTTTTCCTTTGTATTTGAAAAGAAAAACAACTATTTGAATACATTGACAAACTTTCCTTCATACTTCCAAATATTTTGATCTTCAGTGCAGTATCTGAACCTTGAATACATTTGTTTTAATATTATGTGAGCACTTGTTTTAATTTTATTTTTTGCTTTCCTCTCTGTGCTAGGAACTTACTGAGAATATGTAATGGGTATCACTGATTCACTAGCACTCTGGAATACACATGCTTAATAACTATATTTTTAATAACTATTTTTTAAAGTTGTTAGAATTTAATTTACTCTAAATATAATTTTTTAAATAATTTGAATCTTTTCTTGCTTTAGGTTTTATGTTTTATATTTTTCAGGATGTACATTTAGAAATGCAATTTGTATATATATTATATATTTTGGTTATGTTACATACACTGGCTTAGCTGTTATACAGGAATTACCATTCATATAATTTCCAAACAAAATAACATGATAATCTTTATCTGTGTTTATTACAAAATTTTAATTTAGTTAGTAGTAGCTGTTTTAACAGTAATTTCTTTCTAAATATAGGAGTATTTTCTACATTACGTGCTGTTCCCCAGAAGGAAGGCTATCTTGGTTTGTATAAAGGAAATGGTGCAATGATGATTCGAATATTTCCCTATGGTGCAATCCAGTTTATGGCATTTGAGCATTATAAGACGGTACTTGAACATTTATCTTGTTTTTCTCATGTTTTTACAAAGAATTTGCTTTTGTCTTTAAAGTTACTTTTAATGAGTGTGTAATATAATGCTTTTTTAAAGGATTATTAAACTTTTTATACTTTAATTTTTTAAAAATAATTTCTTTTGGCATTAACTTATTCCAGAAGTCGGGATATTAGTCTGTTATGAGTCAATTCTCCATGTTCATACTTGTAAGAGACAAAGTGTCCATTAAGTGTATAATAGTAAATCTGTATATTGCTAGTTTTTTAAATGTATTTTTTTGTTAATCTGTTACATACTTAGTTAGTCACAGTGGTGTGGGAGTTTTTATATTAAAATAAGTGAGTTAGAGCCTATTGTGAAAAATCTGTTTTGGAGTGAGCTGTTAGTGAGCCATAATTTTCTGTTCTGCCCTGAGTGTCCCTTCCCTGGCTGAATCACAGTTTATCCTCTCAAACATTATCTCAACACAGAATGCATACTTTTTTAAAAGAGTATCTTAAAATATAATTTAAATTTTAGAGATAGAAACAAATTTCTAGCCTAGTCAGAGAGAATTGGTGCAAACAGTGTTATCAAGATTTACTTGTCTAGTGTAGTGTTTTATTCTGACTGTCTCCATTCATACTGTAGGCTTGTAGTTTTCTAAATATAGCATTAGTATATTTGCCAGTTCTACACTAGGTTGTCGTCTCATATACTTTGGGTCCATGGCCAGGAGGGACCGGACCTTGGGAGGGACATCATGCTTGGAAGGGTGGAGGGACATCATGCTTGGAAGGGTGGAGGGACAGTGCAGGAAAGGAAGACCCTGGATGAGATGGATTCACATAGTAACTGAGGTGTGTCTGAGTCAGTGAGACTGGCTCAGGATAGGACAAGCCTTAGAGATGTTGTACCTAGGGTTGTTATGCATTATACCGGTTATACAGGTTATACAGGTGACTCGATGGCACATAACAACAACAACAACAACAACAACAACAACTTTAGTTTGCTTTTGTTAAATTGCAAAAATAAGAGCAGAGGCTGCAGAGGTAATATTTAATAACGTGCTGATGTTGCATAACATAGTTCAACTTTATAAGTTGTGCTCTGGCACTCACCTTTGTTACTAATTTTGCTTTTATACTTTTTGAACTCTTGAAATTAGTTTTCTTTATTAAATAGTGATGTAGGTGATATTTTAAAAGCTATCTTATGAATAAAATGTTTTTGATTTTTAGTTAATTACTACCAAACTGGGCGTTTCGGGTCATGTGCACCGATTAATGGCTGGATCCATGGCAGGTAAGAAGAGTGCCTATCTTGTTTCTGACAGATTAGTTTCCCAATAAAACATTTAATTTTAGATTTGATAATATTTATGACATTGGTTAATTAGCACACATATATTATCTTTCCACTTTTAGTCATAGCAGCTCTGTACAGCAGATCCAGACCTTTCCCAATTCTTCACCATCTTCATTTTTTTCTGTGCTTCAGCCTATTGTTGAAATCATTGTTTCTCCATCTTTTTATTATTATTATTATTTTTCATTTTAATTGATATTATAAGTTTACCAAGAACTTGGATTTCCATTCATTCATTGTTGTACGTTTTCTTCCCTGCCCCCCTCCCCTGAGTTCATTTTTTCTTTAGAAAAAAGTTCTTTGGTTGTTATACATTCCCCCCACTGACCAATTTACTATTCAGCTCTTATTCTGGACTCTTGTCACACCAATAATACCTTATTATATATTCCTTTTATACCATTCTCTCCCTTATCAGTTTCAATGCCGTGTACATTATTTATCCCCTTTTCTTGTTTCCCTCCAACCACCCCCCCCATTAGTCCTTTTTATAACAGTGGTATTATACAATATTTGTCTTTTTGTGACTGAGATATTTCCCTCAGTATAATGTCCTCCATAGTCACCCATTTTGTATAATATTTCATGAGTTGTTTGTTTTTCAGTGCTGCATAATATTTCATTGTGTGAATATACCACAGCTTTTCTATCCATTCGTTTGTTGATGGGCACTTGGGTTGTTTCCAACTCTTTACTGTTGTTAACAAAGCAGCAATAAACATGCATATGCATATATCTGCTTGGATGGTAGTTATGGTTTCTTTAGAGTATATTCCCAGTAGTGGAATTGCTGGGTCAAATGGTATTCCTATTTCCAACTTTTTTTTTTTTAATTTTTTTTTATTTTTAACATTTTGAGGAAGCGCCATACTGCCTTCCAGAGTGTTTGCACCATTTTACACTCCCACCAACAGTAAATAGGGGTTCCAGTTTCTCCACATCCTTGCCAGCATTTGTTGTTTGCTGCTCTGTTGGATTTTGCTGTTCTTACTGGGGTGAGATGATACCTCATAGTTGTTTTATGTTTCTCCATCTTGTTGAGTATCTTCATCTCCTTTGCTTACCCTCTACCTTTCCAAGCATAATGTTCTTTTCCAAGCACTAGCCCCTTTTGACAACATGCCTGAGAGAATGTGAGATGAAGTCTCACCATCCTTGCTTCTAAGGAGAAGCCTGGCTGTACTTGCTCCAAGACAGACTTATTTGTTCTTTTGGTATTCCATGGGATACCCAGTATTCTTTGCCAACAGGACAATCCAAAGACATCCATTCTTTGATCTTCTTTATTCATTATCCAGCTTTCAGGTACATAGGAATTGAAAATACCATGGTTTGGGTTAGATATAACTTAGTCTTTCTTTATATTAAGGTTAGAGCTCTTTAGAACTTTGGTCTTTGACAGCATGCATTCCCTTTTAAGAATTCTATGAATCAGATTTGTTTTTCATAAGTATTTTTAAAAATGTAAACTATATTTTAAAGCAGATAAAATATGTGTTCTATGTTTTTGTCATTAACACCTTACGTATGCAAAATAGTTCTGTAAGCATGCTATGTATGTCAGTTTCCCCTGTATGTTGCTCTAGATATTGATGCTTATAAAAAGAGCAAGGGCCACATGGGGACGGCCATGGCTGACCTTTACCAGTTCCCAAAGGGAACTGTGTGAAAACAACACAAACCAATTCCTATGAGGTCAGACATGTCCCCTACACTTTCATGCCTCTTTCTACTCATCACAACACAGATCTTACTACTTTATTGGGTCCACAATCCATTGCAGTAGCTCACAGACCTCATAGAAGCAGAATACAATCACTCACTGAGGATATTTGTCTAAATGTGTTCAACCTTGAGCCTCTTGGCTTTAGGCCAGTGTTATAAAGCTTAGCTCTGTCAATTATGGTTCTCCCTTCTAGTCCTACAAATTTGGACAAAAAGCTGTTGCTGTGGTTCAATGGTCTGCTCCCTCTCATCTCATATCAGGTCTCTGGGTCTCCGCTCCGTCTGCTATGGCTGCTGCTCCCTTAGGCCCTGGTCTAGCTGGCACAAGAATCTCTGGCCCCAAAGGATGGGCTGCATTCTCTTGTTTCTTCTTTGCTGGTGGTGAAATTCTCAAATTTTGCTGCTAGATCCACTCAATTTCTTTTCTTTTTTAGTTATTTTAACAAAATTTATAAATTGTTGCACATTTTCTTGCCCCCCACCCTGTAGTGCACCCCCTGTTCCAGATTTTTGTCACACATATAATGCCTGATCATGTATTTCTTTTACACAGTTCTTCCCTTCATCTGTTCTATTACACTGTTCATTATCTAGCCACTGTTTTCCGATTCTTATCCCAATCCCCCATGTCTGTCCTGTTTTAGAACAGTGGTGTTATGCAGTCTTTGTTCTTTTGTGATTGAGATATTTCACTCAGTGCAATGTTCTTCAGGCTCCCCTATGTTGTGTAATGTTTTACGAGTTCATTGTTTTTCAATGCTGCTTAATATTCCATTGTGTTAATGTTCCATAGTTTGTTTTTTTAAAATTAATTTTACTGAGGTTTACAGAGACTTTGGATTTCCATTCATTCATGCACTTTTCTCCCTGTCCAACCCCCCCCCACCAGTTTGCTCTTTGAAAAGTAAAAAAAAAATTTATTTCTTACAGCAGTGGCCCTATGCAGTATTTGTCCTTTTGTGACTGAGATATTTCACTCAGCATAATGTTCTCCAGGGTCACCCATTTTGTATAATATTTCATGAGTTCCTTGGTTTTCAATGCAGTGTAGTTTTCCATTGTATGAATATAGCACAGCTTCTCTATTCATTCATTTGTTGATGGGCACTTAGATTGTTTCCAAACAAAGCCACGATAAACATGGGTGTGCATATATATGCTTGGGTGGTGGTTATGGTTTCTTTGGGGTATATTCCTAATAGTGGAATTGCTGGGTCAAATGGTATTTCTGTTTCCAACTTTTTTTTTTTATTTCCAACTTTTTGAGCAAGTGCCATACTGCCTTCCAAAGTGGTTGCACCATTTTACACTCCCACCAACAGTGAATAAGGGTTCCAGTTTCTCCACAACCTTGCCAGCATTTGTTGTTTGCTGTTCTGTTTAATTTTGCTATTCTTATTGGGGTGATATGATATTTCATAGTGTGTTTTGATTTGCATCTCTCTTGGAGCTGGGGATTTTGAACATTTCTTCATGTGTTTGTTTGCCATCAGAATGTCTTTTTCAGTGAAGTGTTTGTTCATATTTTGTGCCCATTTTTCAATTGGGTTGTTTACCTTTCTCTTGTTGTGTTGCTCGAGTATTTTATACATTTTAGATAAATCCCTTATCTGACATGTCATTACAAAATATTTTTTCCAAATCTGTGTCTTCCCTTTTTACCCTGTTGGAGAAGTTTTTGGATATGCATAGGGATTTGATTCTTTTTTTAAAAAAATTTTTTTTATTAATTTCAATGAACATTTACAGAGATTTTGGATTTCCATTCATTCATTGTTGCACTTTTCTCTCTGCCCACCCCACCCCCCAGTTCACTCTTCTCTTTGAAAGGTAAAAGAAAAATTGCTTCGTTAGTGTACAGTCTCTCCACACACCCCCACCTCCATCCCAAGTATATTCTTAGCAGGTCCCATTCATCTATTTTATCTTCTCCTGGTTGTAGGTTTCTCAGAATATTTGAAAGACTGATCAGGTTGTGGATTAGTGCTTCTAGGGTTCTTCCAAGCTTTTCTCTAATGAAGATTTTCTATCTATTCATTTGTTGATGAGCACTTGGAATAACAGCAGCAATAAACATGGTTGTGCATACATCTGTTTGAGTCATGGTTCTGCTTTCTTTAGGGAGATCCACTCAATTTAATGACAAGACTAACCAATCCTCTTGCAGATAGGCCAGCACACCCTATTTATTTCTGCGCATCTACATGGCAAAGTCAGTCAGTGACTAGGGAAGCCATTTGAATAATAAATCTTTAACCCTATATTGCTGTATACATTGATAGATAATTATAGAATTTGTGAATCAGTTGAATAAAAATAAGCTGGTAATATTGACTCAATAAGAACTCATTACCATCTTAGAATCAACTCAAGACTGACCTTCCAGCAGGTTTTCAGGGGGCTGTAAATCATACGGAAAGAAATTGTCCATCTTTCTCACACAGATTGGCTGGTGGATTCAGATTGTCAGGGGCATTGCCTTTGGTATTCTGCAGCAAGTGCTTCAAGTCCTCTTCACTTTCAGCAAGCAAGATTGTATCATCTGCATAACAAAGGTTATTGATAGTTTTCCTCTGATCCTGATGCCATATTCTTCTTCATAAGTCCAGCTTTTCTAATAATTTGCTCAGCATACAGATTGAATAGGTTTGGAGGAAGTATACAACCTTGATACACACCTTTCCTAATCTTCTTTCTTTTTATCTTTCTTACCTTTCCTAATTTTCTTTTTCTTTCTTTCTTACTTGTTGGGTGCTATAGAATTGGATCCCACTGGTACAGGAGGAGATGGCCCCTCCTTCTCTAGTAGAGCATCTGGTGGATTCGAAACACATGGGATTGCAACGCAGCTTCTTGCCACTAGGCCACCAGAACTCCCTACCTTTCCAAATTTTATATTTATTTTTGTTTTATTTTCATTATTTTTTAAAATTTTTATGATTTTTGTGTCTGTGTACCATCAAATCAGATCTGACTGGTCCAGGAGGAGGTTGCCCCTCCTTTTCCAGCAGAGCATCTGGTGGATTCAACCTGTGCACCTCTGGGATTGCAGTGCAGCTTCTTGCCACTAGGCCACCAGAGCTCCCTGCCTTTCTTAATTTTATTTTTTTTTAACTTTTTAAAAAAACTTTATTATTTTGTGTACCATCAAATTGGATCTGATTGGTATAGGAGGAGATGATTACCCCTCCTTCTCTAGCAGAGCATCTGGTGGATTTGAACCAAACACCTCTAAGATTGCAGTGCAGCTTCTTGCCACGAGGCCACCAGAGCTCCCTTGCCTTTCTTAATTTTAAACCATGTATTGTTCCCTTGCTCTGTTCTCCCAATAGCCTCCTCAGTTTCATCAAGCAGAGTTGTGTTATCTACATAACGCAAATTGTTGATGAGTCTTCCTCCAATCCTGATGCCACATTTCTTCTCATAGAGCCCAGCCTCCTGGATAATCTGTTCTGCATGTAGATTGAAAAGGTGTGACGATAATACGCATCCCTGGCATACACCCTTTCCAATTTTGAATCATGGAGTGTTTCCTTGCTTTGTTCTGAAATAAATGTCTTGCTATTATCATAAAAATAATCAACACTCCACGAGATGCTCTGCTGGAGAAGGAGGGGCAGTCTCCTCCTGTACCAGTCGGATCAAATTTGACAGTACACACACACACACACACAAAAATAAAAATATTTTTTAAAAAATCAACACTTTCTCGAAATAAAACTGAGTTATGTTAAAAAAAATCAACACTTTTCTTGCTGATTTTTTTAAACTTTATTATTTTTTGTGTGTGTACCATCAAATCAGATTTGACTGGTACAGGAGAAGATTGCCCCTCCTCCTTCAGCAGAGCTTCTGGTGGATTCAAACCACGTACCTCTGGGATTGCAGTGCAGCTTCTTGCCACTAGGCCACCAGAGCTCCCTGCTGATATTTTTAAAATTTGTTTCATTTGATCATTCATATACGTTTTATTTTATAAGGTTAATTAATTAAGATCCATGCCATTTATTACAGCATCTCATAAAATTCTCCCTGTACCTTCCTTTTACTTTCTCCCTACCCCTCCATCCACCTTTCTGTTCTTTCCCTCCCTCACCTCCACTCCCTGTCAAACCTCTATGATTGTTTCCATCTGTGTAAGATCTTTTCCTTAGCTTCCCTGCTCCCTCCTAAGTAAATCAGTTATGCATATCCTGTTTTTCTGATATTTTTCTCTTCATAATAAAAGTGCTCACCATTGCTTAATGTGAATGAAACCAATTTACTTTGTAGAATTACTTTCAAACATAGCATACAAAAAAATTGTTCATAATCTTCTTATACTGTACTATTATTTTTTTCTTTCTTGTGGTATCAACTTTATACGGTACTATTTTGAGGCTACCCTATGACTTCATCCTGAGTAGAACTTGAGATTTTTTCATTTGACCCTTTATGGATTCACAGGATTGTTTTCTAGCTGTTAACTATATAATTCTGTCAGCAGCTTGAGTTTTCATACTTGTTATATTAAGAGGTGTTGCTGTTATGTGCCGTCAAGTCACTTGCAACTCATAGATACCCTATGTACAAGAGTCCTAAACCCAGCTCTACCCTGTGCCAACCTCACTATCTCAGACATACCTACTCCCACTACTCCAGTCACTGAGTCGATCCATCTCATTGAGGGTCATCCTCTCCTGCACTGTCCCTCCACTCTCCCAAACATGATGTTCCTCTCCAAGGACTGGTCCTTCCTTCCAGCATGCCCGGAGTATGTCAGACGAAGCTTCAGAATCCTTGCCTCCAAGGAGCAGTCAGTTTCACCCTCCCTAGGACAACAAACCTGTTTGTTCTCCTAGGAGTCCATGGTATATTCAACACTCTTCTCCAGCACCACAACTCAAAGGCATCAATTCTCTATCTATCATCTGTGGTCATTGTCCAGGTCTCTGACACTTAGCACACAATTGTGAAGACTATGGCCTGGATCAAGCGCACTTTAGTCTCCAGCCTGATGTCGTTGTTCTTCAGTACTCTGGAGAGGTCCCTGACAGCTGATTTTCCCAATGCAAAAAAATAAAGAGTACTACTTTGAACATGTTGCTAGGAAAGATTATTCCTTGGAAAAATATGTGTGGAAGGGTAGAGGGTCAATGAAAGAACGGAAGACCCCCATTGAGATGGATTTACATGGTGACTGCAGCAGTGGGCTCAAGTGTATCAAAGATGGTGAGGATGACACAGGATAAAACAAGATTCAGATCTTTTGTTCATAGGGTAACTCTGAGTCATACTCATTGATTCCATGGCACCTACCAGCCACAACAACTAATGAAAGTTTCTACTTTTATTTCAGGTATGACGGCAGTTATCTGTACTTACCCTCTTGATATGGTCAGAGTCCGCCTAGCATTCCAGGTGAAAGGGGAGCACACCTATACAGGAATAATTCATGCATTTAAAACAATTTATGCAAAGGTATTTCATAGTTACCTTTCTTATCTGTAACCCACCCTGTTATTTTTAGGAAAATATAGCAAGTGTTAGCTGAATAATTACTCTTATTTATAATTATTAGTAATAAGGATAATAGTAATGAATGTACATCTTTGTGTTTCAGGGTGGTGTCAGAGTAGTTTCTCTTAGAATGTATGCTTTTCATCTTTCATGGTTATCATAAATTAGCATAATGTAATTTCACTTCCAATTTTCCTTCACTCAAAAGGAAGGCGGTTTCCTGGGATTTTACAGAGGCCTGATGCCTACTATATTAGGAATGGCTCCTTATGCAGGTATGTTTCAAATATGGCAGAATCCCAACTTATGAATGTGTCCTCAGCATTTTTCCAAAATGATGGCATGAAAAGTTGCTATAATAAAACATTTTTATTTAAGCAATGATCAAGATAAAATATCATATATGGGTAAACAATATTGTGTTGTACAAAAAAATATTCTATTCCTATCCAATCAGTTGAAATGTACTTTTACATCTTTTTCTTTATATCTCTGTCAGCTGTAGTCTTATTAACATTTGCACATTGTTATTATATGAAAGTTATTGATTCCATTTTTAAAAACATGTTAACTAGAAATAAGAATTCAAAGCTTTTCCCCTCACATATATGAGTAGTAAATACTCATGGGAAATTTAACAAATGGAGAACAAAAAAATTAAGGTAGTTTATATCTTCCAATCTGTATACAACTTTTACTTATTTATATTTCTTTTAAAAAAATAATTAGCTTTTTATTTTTAAAGATTTATAACAAATTTTAAGAGCCAATACTGAGTTCCCATATACTTTTCCCCCAGTTTCCCCAGTGATAGCATTTTACAAAAGTGGTACAACATCCCAACTAGGATAGTGATACTGAACAATCCAGATACAGAAGGGTTCTATCACCAGAAGGATCCCTCCTGATGAGCTGGTTTTTTAGGAACATCTTTTCTCAACCTTTTTCTTTCTTTTTTTTTTTTTTAAATTTTTTTTAATTTATTTTATTATTTTTGTGTGAGTGTACTGTCAAATCAGATCTGACTGGTACAGGAGGAGATTGTTCCTCCTTCCTTGGCAGAGCATCTGGTTCAACCTTTTTCTAAGCCCTGAAAACCCCTAATTTGTTCTCTAATTTTCTCATTTCAATAAAGGTATATATGAAGGTATGTATGAAGCCATACATGCATTTTGTAACATTTTGAGGCTGGATGTTTTCACTCAGCATCATTCTGTCAAGACTGATCCAAGTTGTGGCATGTGTCAGTAGCTTCTTCTTTTTTTCTATTGCTGAGTACTGAATTTTTTAAGTAAAGCACTATGGATATTGCCATCTATCCCCTCTACCCAAGACATTTTCTTAAATATGCTATGCTAACTTTCTATGGTAGCGTGCCCTGGTATAGAAATACCACAGTTTGTAAAACTCTATACATATTATAAGCTTGTAATATGTATATGTGTTACAGATTAATAATATTTCTAAGATTAACTCATTGTATATGCCATTTTCCAAATGTGTAGATATCCTGGTAAAGAAGTTCAATAAATCCTTTCTAGGGCATAATCTCTCAATAGTGTCCTTGCATAGGAACCAATTCCTAGCTGACCCTCCATCTAGTTTCCCAGGGATGGAGATTGCCTATCTTTCTCCTATTTCAAGCCACTGGAGAGGAAGAGCCTCTGGTTTAGCAGTGCAACTCCCTGTTGACTATTCTACCAGGGTTCCCTTGGGACTAGGAGTAAAAGTGCCTGATTGTAAATTACATGTATGCTCAGTTTTATTAGCTAAAGATGAATTGAGTGACAGTGGTTGTATATGTTTACACTTTCACCAGCACGTTAAAATTCTCATTGATCCACAGCCTCTCCATCCATGTTGATAATAGTTGATTTTTACTTTTAAAAAATTTTGTTGGATACCTGAAAGAAAATGCCTGAATTCTTACTTTAATTTTCCTTAGTACTAATGAGGTTGCCCAACTTTTTATATATTTAATCACCATTTACATTTCTTTTTCTGTGAAATGCTTTGTTATGTGTTTGGCCCACTTCTCTACTGATCTGTTTGGAGGGTTTTTCTCATTAATTTGTAGTAGTTCTTTATGTATTTTTTTATATATGTTGTAAATGTCTTATCCCCATTTGTAATTTTGCTTCTCATTTCTGTGTAGTATCTTTAAGACAAATATTAATTTTAATGTTATTAAATTTGTCATCCTCTTTTATGGATAGTGCTTTTTTGTGGCATTTCCCCCCTAAGCATTACTTAAAATTTAGCATTTTTACATTTGTGCCTCTAATCCATCAAGAGTTATTTATTTTTCCCTTAATGAGTACCTTTTAACTCATCACCCTTTATCAGTCCCTCCTCTTGTAATATACAGTGATATACAGTGTCATTTCTAATAAATCCATTTGAACGACCAGTGTCTTTCCCCTCAGAGTGCACGTTAGAATCAGCTTTTTTTTTTAAAAAGTGTGTGTGTGTGTGTGTGTGTGTGTGTGTGTGTGTGTGTGTGTACCGTCAAATCAGATCTGACTGGTACAGGAGGAGATTGTCCCTCCTTCCCCAGCAGAGCATCTGGTGGATTCGAACCGTGCGCCTCTGGGATTGCAATGCAGCTTCTTGCCACTAGGCCACCAGAGCCCCCCTTGGAATCAGCTTTTGATATTAAGAAAAATTTCTTGTTGATATTTCAAATGACTTTTCATACAGCTGTTGGGGACTTTTGTTAGACATATTCTTTGAACCTTTGAAGTTCTGTTGTGTCTTTTAGAAAATGATGTATTCAGTTCATTACTTGATTGCATTTTGATAGGGTCATAGAATTAAGTGGAGTATCTAGATGGCATCAACAACTAAGTTCTAGGCTGCGAAGTGAAAGATTTCATTTCACCCAGAATTACTCTGGAAGAAAGACCTGGCTATACTTCTATTGACAAACTAGCTATTGGAAACCCTGTGGCACACAGTTCTACTCTGTCATAAGTGAGGTTAGCGCGAGCTGGAAACATCTCTGTGAACCTGTATTTGTATGGCTAACTAGCTGTCTTCTTACCTACTGATGCTATCACTAGCCACTTGTTATGTATACGTGTTTTAGAGTTTTTATGTTGGCAATCACATCATGTACAAATAGTAACATTTTTTTCCCCTTGCATTCCAATCTTTATTTATTTGTGTTTATCTTATGTTACTGTACTGGCTAAGGACCCACAGTGCAGCTGTGAGTATACTGGGTTATGATCCTCTACTGAGTTTTCAGTAGCATTTATTTGTTCTTAAACATCAATATCTGTTTAAAATTATTTAGTAGATATATAGACACACTGAGTAATGCTTACTTTCATTATTTATTTTATTTATGTGTGACTTATAGGTTCTGTTATCATGCCATTAAATAACTGAACCACACTAACTGACACTTCTACTCAATATTTATTAGATTTCTGTTTTCTTCTGATCCTATCTGAACATTTTTCTTGTGACCACAATTCTTCCTTAAAGTGAAAATTAGGTACTGAGTGAAAGTAACTGTTTTATCATTTAAACTTTTATCTTCCGTTATACATTATCACCATTTTTGTTTTTACATATGTCATATCTACTTACAGTTATTAAATATGAGTTTAAATTTTAGTTGTATGAAATCTTAGAAAATGGTTTCATTCTAGTCATATATAAAGTATATTCATTAGTGTGTTCATTCAAAGCACCGAACTATATTTCAGCATCAGAAAACTTGACATATTTTTTGTAAATGTTGTTTGTCATCTTTAGATTTTTTATAAATATAAAGTAAAACTTTTCATTAAACAGCAGAAATCAGGAAGTGCATACTTATTTTCTTAATTTAATTGGTTGCTATGTAAGAAGAATGTCTCTTTCACTGCTAATATTTTGTTAAGTGTTGTGGTAAATTTACATTTTGTTTTACAGGTGTTTCATTTTTTACTTTTGGTACCTTAAAGAGTGTTGGGCTTTCCCATGCGCCTACCCTTCTTGGCAGACCTTCATCAGACAATCCTAATGTCTTAGTTTTGAAAACTCACATAAATTTACTTTGTGGTGGTGTTGCTGGAGCAATAGCACAGACAATATCGTAAGTTGTTTTATCAAATGAATTCAGTGAAATTGCCGTTTACCCAGTCTCAATTTCAGCATTAACAATCTCCTGTTGTTTCTAGCTGATTATTTGAAAATAGAATTCTTTTTGAAAATAAAAATACTAATTTAATACATTTTTTCCAAATAAGCCTACACTGTAAGTATATTTTGAATAATTATGTGCCAGATTGACCAAATTTATTTGAACCCAGTTGTATGCTTGTAAATTCATTTTAAACAAAAAAGAAAGAAGGCAAAAGCATTAAGTCCTTATCTGTAGTTACTCATGAATTTCCTTATATAATACTTCAGGCGTGTGTGTGTGCGCGCGCGCGTGCAAAGTAACATCTCTTTCTTAGTGGTATTCTTTACGCTATTCATTAAATTCTGAAGACCTGATCCCTGTCAGATTTGGCATAGGGAGGTACATTGTAGAATAAACAATGTTGCTTACCTCAAGATGCCTGCTGTACTATTACTGAGACTGTAACCAAACCAACCAAACCATTGCCATTGAGTTAATTCTAACTTGTGGTGGCCCCTGGGTCAGGGTGGAACTGACCATACGATTTCCAAGGCTGTCAGTTTTTATGGAGGTAGGTTGTCAAATCTTCCTCCTGTTGAATGGTTAATGGATTTGAATTGCTGACCTGATAGTTATCAGCTCAGTTCTTAACTACTGTGTCACCAGCATTTCCTTAACAGTGACACAGGTATTGTGATTGAAAATCTAGCTTCTCAGAATTTCCCTTGTACAAGAGAGATTAAATACAGTGAGATGAGAAGAGTTTGGTATACTAAGAATAACGATCTTTCCAGAACAGGAAGAAGAGCTTTGTATTTCTGAGGATATCTTGAGAAATAGGATGACAGTAAGGAGAGAGCAGTGTCACAAAGAAGCCGAAAAATATAGCCAGTGGGAAAAGAAAGAGATAGAAGTAGTAGTAGCTACCAAAAAATAGGGTTTCTGTTGTATAACTTTTGCAAAAGCAAATTCAGTATGTTTGTGAGTGGGAGCATACTATACTAGATTGATGAGAAAGGAGAGAAAGGTAAGTGGTTGGCTTGTCTTGGAAACATGGCTCTGGAACCTTGGTCATTTGCAGCAACCTGACCACTTCTACAGAAATCTGATTTTCTTCTTGATTTTATCACATCTCTTTCTTTACTATTCACTCACAGGTTAGACCTTTAAAATCTGTCTTCTGTTACTCCTTTCTCTTCTGAAACATTATTTGAACTTGTATCTCTTAACGGAGTCAGCGCCTTCTTTTGAGTTCTTTTACCCTTTTCCCAATTGTTTGCCTCCCCTGACTTTTGTTTTCCTTCCTTGCCTTTTATACCAGGGCCCTTTTGGCAGCTCTACCAACCTTCCCTGTTCCCATCTTTTACATTTACACCCTTCTTGCCTGGCCTTTATGTGAGAATTGTTAATGCCCAGCCAGACTTTCGTTTTTTGCTCTTTGTAAATAGAAGAGCTTGTCTATCTGTGTGCTTTCATGGACACCTCTATACAGATAACCAATTCTCATTCAACTAACAAGTATTAGGTGTTTCTACTTGGTTATTCTGCCATCAGTACAAACCATATAATTCAAATATTCTTCCTAGCAAATTTTAGCTCCCAACTTCCCAATTTATTGTTAATAACCATCAATCTTCCTGTCCTGAAACCTTGGAATCATTTTTTTTCTTTGTTCATATCTGAATAGTAAATAAATCTTGTCTTTTTTTTTTTACTCCAGAACATTTGCCAAAATACTAATTTCTTCGTGCTGTCACTGTTACTGCCCTACTTCTGGTCACTGTCACCTTTTCCTCTTAGAGCCTCTCCTTTTTATATTAATCAATTTTCCTTCTAGCCACATGTATCTTTTCCTGCTTCTCAACTGAATTCCTCAGAATAAGATTTTTGGTACCTTTACCTCATAAAAATTGTTTTCCCCATTTAAAAAAAATTCCTCAAAATGCAGTTGAGACATTTTCAGCTCCTGGTATTGCTTTAATTCTTAAGTTGGTTCATTGTTGTAGTTTTTGTTATGTGCTGTCAAGTTGGAACTAACTTACATCCGACTTCCAGTGAGTTTTCAAAGGCTGTAAATAGCATAGGATATTGCCCGTCTTTCTCCCTTGAAGATAATCTCGACTGTAGCTGGTATATCCGAGCTGCCTGACTTTGTGTCGGGAGTACAGCTCTTTATGCACTAGGCCACTAGGCTCCTCAAACTAGATAATATATGAATATTTATTATTTTGTAATCATAAATGTTTCATAAGTGAGTTTTAAAAGTTTACAAACCAAAACTGAAACCCACTGCCATTGAGTTAGTCTTTCCATTGGGTTTCTGAAGCTGTAAATCTTTACAGGGGAAGCTGTCCATCTTTCTCATGCAGGGTAGCTGATGACCTTCGAGTGAGCAGCCTGATAAATTATGCATTAAGGGCCACTAGAGATCCTTAAGAGTGTACAAAAGCATAGAACTATTGTGTATATTATTTATATATTAGAAATGGTTAAAAATTTAAAAAATGAAAGTAGAAAACAGCTTTGTGACATTAGACATGTCTGTAAGATTCATTTCTTTAATCTTAATATTGGGAGACTAGTACCTATTTTCAGGATCTGTTCTGAAGAAAACATTAAGTATTCAACATTGCAAAGTACTAATAATTTTTGAAAATCACCTGAAGTCCTACTTCTGAAAGATTAAATTTACCTATTTCATTTCTGGCAGTCTTGTTATATAGAACTTGGTCTGTACTTTAAATGCATTTATGTGAATTAGTTCTTTTAGCACTTAAGCAAAAATTTTGTTCATCTGCTGTGTAAAGGGAAGTTGCCAAGTACTTTCAGGATGCCGGTTCTCATTTGGAGGCAGTTTTATCCCTATTGGATGATTGTCAGTACCTGGAGGCACTTTGTTGCAGTTGGGAGACTAGGTGGAGGCCAAGGACACAACTAGACAAAATACCAGGCAGGCAAGGTTGAGACGCCAAGTTTATGGTTTTAACAACAGAAACATTCAGGCAGTGGCATTTAATTTGCCTTTGAGAAAAGGAAAGAATTTGACTTTGTGGCAGTGTTAGACAAGAATCTTCTGCTATAGGCACATGATTTTACTCAAGTGCCTGTATTCTGACTCCCAAATTAGCTAAAACAATAAGAAAACAGGACACATTTTGCACTTATAATTTCCTAGTTTATGTAAGGCTTTGCATTCAGTATGTAGTTGTTTAGTTGAAACAAAAAATAATTTTTAAGTTCTTACTTATTTCTCTTTTAGTTATCCTTTTGATGTAACTCGTCGGCGGATGCAATTAGGAACTGTTCTACCTGAATTTGAAAAGTGCCTGTAAGTGCTTTATTATATGTCATTGTTAATTTTCTTTAGACATAGTTATGTTTAAAGTATATGGGGAAATAGAACTTCCCTACCAGTAGTCTAGAACTTCCATTTTTACCTCCATAGCATATTTTGTAAAATGGGCTCTTAGGTGTCAGGAAGTGTGAGGATGGCACAGGATAGAACAGGGTTCAGATCTTTTGTTCATAGAGTCACTACAAGTCATTCTCTAACAACAACGTTGTTGTTGTTGTTATGTGCTGTCAAGTCGCTTGCGACTAGTTGGTAAATAATAAGATTTCAGTCACGTGGCAATCCGCCTATTAAAAATTTTATTTTGGTGAGTAAAGAGGGTGGTGGTGAAAGAAAGATCCAGTAGGAACCTGAATAGCATGGATCAATGGTGATTAATTTTATAAACCACAATGTATATGAGTGATCATTTGAAACACAGTGTGAGTGTAGGAATGTGAGAAACACCATGCACATGAGTGATACAGTATATACAAATTTTGTGTGCAAATGAATATTTAATAAAAATAAAGTAGAAAAACATTTTATAGCATCCATGTCCAATAAAATTCCGTTATGAGGCATGTATACAATTTAAAGTTTTCTTTTTTTAATTTAAATTTATCATTAATTTCAGTAAAAATTTACAGAGACTTTGGATTTCCATTCATTCATTGTTGCACTTTTCTCCCCTCCCAACCCTCCCCCCTAGTACACCACCCTTTTGGAAAAGTAAAAGAAAAAGTCTTTCATTGTTTTACAAGCCCTCCCCCAGGTCCACTCCACCATGTAGCCTTCGCTCTAGACTCCTGTCATGACAAAAATACCTAATCACATATCCCTTTTAAACAGTTTTCTC